TTTTTATTGTTTTTTTGATCAAATACTAACAATATTTTGTCAATATTTATTAAATATATAACATTAATCAGTTATAAAGATTATATCAATTTATTTATAACTTTAGTTTAAGTTCTTGATAGAAACATATTACTTTTACACATTGCTATTGTATTTTAAAACAAGTTACTTAAATATAATTAATAGTAGAGGTATAATATAATTGATTATTATATTATACTCTGTTTAATTTGCTTACACTTTATTCAAGATAGGTTAAGAAAAACAACTAAAAGTTTAATCTTGAAAAAATAGTGCAACTTTTATTATATTAGACATCACTTTTACATACTCCTTTCATGCTTAGTTATGTCTCAAAATTAAAGAAGTAAAATTATAAGGTTTTGTTAAAATTAAAGAACTCAGGCTAGGCTAAATAAACTTAACCGTCGCCAAAATGAAAGAGATGACCCTATCTAGCTGAGGTAAAACGTCGCTGAAATTAAAGAGATAAGCCTACGTGAGCTGAAATAAACTGCCGTAAAAATAAAAGATATCAGGATAAGTGTTATAATTCCTTTTCATCTTTGTTTCCTTCACAGCCAAAATACCTCATCCATCAAATAATTGCCCTTGTTGTTTTAGGGTTTATGGGCAAACTTTGCATCGTGTTAGAAATTTAAGGCCTAAAGAAGGTTTTCTGCCCATGTATTGTCAGTTAAATATATTTGATCCTAAAGTAACAGTGTTATTCAGAATGAAGCAACCTGGTTATAATGGTTGTACAAATAAGTTTAAAACGCAACTGAAGTAGAGGAGAAAAATGATGATGGCACAAATAACTGGAGCATCGTGCTATTTTGTCCCAGTATTATAGTTATCACGCCGTTGCGACTATATTAGAAAGGAGCATTTACTGGCGCGAGTCTGGCAAGCGATTCATATATATATATATATATATATATATATATATATATATATATATATATATATATATATATATATATATATATATATATATATATATATATATATATATATTATATTTATATATATATATATATATATATATATATATATATATATATTTATATATATATATATATATATATATATATATATATATATATATATATATATATATATATATATATATATATATATATATATATATATATATATATATATATATATATATATATATATATATATATATATATATATATATATATATATATATATATATATAGTGAAAAGTATTTATATTTTTGACAAGACGATATATATTGTGTACTTGTAATTTTTGACGAAATTAAATTTTCTTACTTATCCTTATTAATCAAGTCTGTTAGAAATATTTAGCATTAAATTTAGAAAAAGTTGAATATGTTGCAATTTTAAATGACAATTTTTATAGTGTATCTTGCTGCACTTGTTATAGTTTGTTGAAGTTTGTACATTGTTTATTTTTGTTCTTGATAACAAAAGTGCTTTATTTTTTATTTTATTATTTATTATGTTGTGTCTCAACTGTTTTATTTTAATAGTAACATTATTATATTAATATTATTTGTAATAATACATTCAATAGATATTAATTTTAAAAAATGATTTTGATCATATAAATGACATCATCAAAATTGCTTTTGATGATTGTCATGTATTTAAAAATTGAATGTATTTAAAAATTGTATTGAATGTATTTTAAAAAAAAAAATTTTAATTTATTTGCATTTTATTTTCTGAAATACTTTTAGTATTTTATATTGCTCTATATTTTAACATTTCTCAACTTTAAGTCATTTTTCGATTATCAAATTTAACAAAATGATCAATTGTAATTACACTTAATGCCTATAATTCCTATTTTTTATATAATTTATTACTACATTTTGCATAAAATTTGTTTCTATGAGAACGATAAATAAGTTTTATTATATTGTTAAATTTATTGATGAAAAAAAATTCAGTGGCTGTTTTTCATGTAAAATGGATATCAATCAATCAATATATTTTTCGATAAAAGATCTTACAATTGAGGTCATTTACAAATAGTTAAAAACTAATCTTAAATAAATACCATGAATTAGGATTGATAATGCAAATAATAATACTGATAATAAATTAAAATTTATAAGAATAATAAGAATATTATATGATAATAAATCAATATCAGTTTTAAAACAACAATTGAATATAATGCACAGACAGGAAAGTTACATATAGTTATGTACTGACAAAACATTTTTTTTTTTTTTTTTTGCTTTTTTTTTTCTCGTTTTTTTTTTTTTTTTTTGTTAATTTGTTTTTTATTTTTTTTTTAGTTTGATGATCTTTAGTTTTCGAAATCCAGTATTTTCACATTAATCATACCATTATACTTGCTTAAACAAAATGGGAAAAAAATTTACTCCATCTTAATTAAAGGAACTGCTAGATATTCACGAAAACACCATCCTCAAAATATTCAACGAACGCTTTCAAAAGTTAGAAAATGACTTTTTAAATCATTAAAGACGAAAACAAACAGTTAAAAAAAGAATTAGATCAAACCAATTCTACACTTGAATTCTTAAGCGAAAAATACGAAACATTAAAAAAATCATTAAATAATAGTAAAATGAAAACATCAATCAAACCAATAAAACTTGAAAATGAAAACCAATAAAACTTGAAAATCTTAAAGACAAGATGGCTGAGTTAGAGGATAGGAGTCGCCGTAACAATCTTTGAATCAATTTGAAGGAATCGAGGAAACGGAAGGAGAAACATGGAAAGGCAGCGAGGAGAAAGTGAAAAAGTTATTTAAACAAAAATTAAATATAAACGAAGAAATACATATAGAACGCGCACACCGAACAGGGAAGAAAGAAGACAACAACGGTATAAGAAGAAGAACGATAGAAGTAAAATTTCTTGATTACAAAATGTGAAACTGTATTACAAAACTGCAAAAATTTGAAGTTATGGAATGAAAAAGTATACATTAATGAAGACTTTAGTGAGCGAACAACAAACATTTGTAAGCAGTTATTTATTAAAGCTAAAGAAATACGTTTTTCAGGTAACTTTGCTAAAGTGGTTTATTATAAATTAATCACAAAGTCTTTTTAAAAGACTATTATCAATTATTAATTTAAAAAAATATGTTTTAATATATATATGTATATATTTGTTTATGTATGTGGTGTGTGTATGTGTGTGTGCATAAATGCATATGTATATAAAAACCTCCAAAAATCAAAATTACAAAAACATTTAAAATGGATTCATCTTATAGAAATGCTTTTGAAAAAGTATCAAATTTATTTCATACTAATACTTTTAATTTAGAAATTGAATCTGATCCAGATATTAATTATTTTAATGAGATTAATGGACCTGAATTCGAATGCTCTTACTTTTATCTAGATAAAATTAAAAGCATTTTAAAAAGTGATGATAATTGTGATTATTTTAATGTAATCCACATTAATATGAGAAGTTTAAAAAAAAAATTGATTATTTTTTTAATTTGATTTGCAAAACAGAAAGTTTTTTTAACGTTATTTGTTTAACAGAAACTTGGTGTACAGAAGAAGATTTTAAATCGAACTCTAATCTCCATCTTCTAGATTTTAATACAGTGTTTTTTTAGCGTAATTTTAATAAGCGTGGAGGAGGAGTACTATTTTACATAAAAGAAAACATTGCGTATAATAATAGACGCGAGATGAGTGTTTCTGATAAAAATATCGAGATTTTAACCGTTGAAATAATAAACTAACAATCTAAAAATATTTTAATAAGCTGCTGCTATCCGCACCGACTGGAAGAACTGAGTACGTAAGCAAATATCTAATAAGTAATTTAATAGAAAAAAACTAACCAAGAAAAAAAAAAAAAAACTACATACTTTGCGATTTCAATTAAGGCTGTTTCCATTATAATAAAAAACAAAATATAACAAATTTTTATAATTATTTATTCCAAACAGGAACAATACCAATTATTGATAAACCTACCAGATTAACAAATCATTCGTTCTCTTTAACTGACAACATTCTAACCAATGACATTTTTAATACAACGCTTAAAAAAGGCATTGCAAAATCCGAAGTTTCTGACCATTTTCCTATTTTTTTCTGCATAAGCCCAAACAGCAAACCAAGTATGCATGGAAAAAGAACAGTTAAAAAACGTGTTTACAACAACACTAACCTAAATTTATTTAAAGAGCAACTTTTGAATCAAGACTGGAACTATATAAATTTCAATGACGAGATAAACCTCATCTATAACTCTTTTTTTTAGACTTTTTATAAAACCTACAACGCAAACTTTCCATTGCGTGAAACAATTCTTAACGCCAAAGACCTACCTTGTCCTTGGACAACTAAAGGAATTAAAAAATTCTCAAAAATAAAGCAAAAACTTTATGTTAAGTATCTAAAAACTAAATCAGAAAAGAATAAAATCACTTACACAGTCTATAAAAACTTATTTGAAAAACTCCACAAAAAAGACAAAAAAATTTACTACTCGGACTTGCTTACGAAGCACAAATATAATTCAAAGCGAGTTTGGCAAATAATGAAGGATATTACTGGTAAACATAAGACATGCACAAAATCTATGCCGTCTGCAATAAAAATTAAAAATAAAATAGTTAACGATTCTAAGGAAATTGCCACCGAATTTAACAAGTTTATTTCAACAATAGGACAAAGTCTATCAAATAAAATTCCTTATGTAGACAATAACTCCGTTGATGAATTTATTTTATTAACAAATTCAACTCTGAACTTTTCAAATCTAACATTTAGTGAATTTAAAATAGCATATAAAGCAATAAAAAGAAATAAAGCAACTGGGCCTGATGATATAAATGGGAACATTATAATCGACTCTTTTGATGCGATTGAAGATGTCCTCTTTAAAATTTTTAAAGCATCTATTACTCAAGGATCTTTTCCAGATAGCTTGAGAATAGCAAAAATAACTCCAATCTTCTAAAAAAAAGAAAATTCAAAATATCTTACCTGACTTATATATTGACAGTACAGTAATAAAAAGAGAAAAAAATACAAAATTCTTAGGAGTTATAATAGATGAAAACTTGTCTTGGAGGCAACAAATTGATAATATTTCAATGAAAATTGCTAAAAGCATTGGAGTTCTATATAAAGTTAGACATATATTAAATAAACATCAATTAACACAACTATATTATTTATTTATTCATAACCATTTAAATTATGCAAATATAATATGGGGAAGCGCTCACAAAACCAAATTTAAATCTTTCTATCGACATCAGAAACACGCAGCTTGCACAATTAATTTTGCGTATCGTTTTTCAAGCTCAAAACCACATTTTAAAAAAATGAAAGTTTTGAATATTTACGAACTAAATGTTTTTAATATTTTATGTTTTATGTTTAAATGTAAAGAAAATATATTACCTAATTTATTTATAAATCTTTATAATTTGAAACCTAAAAACAAATATAATTTTCGTGGCAGTAAACGTATCGAAGAGCCATTTTGGCAAACTAAATTTGACCAGTTTTGTATTTCTTATCGTGGTCCTTCTCTTTGGAACAAAATAATTTAACCTAATTTCGATTTTTCTTTTAAATGGTCTCATTCTTCTTTTAAACGGAAAGTAAAAAAAATTATCTTTTCAACACAAAATATTTATATCTATTTTTAGTAATTAAGTTGTTTTTTTTATTTATTTATTTTGATTTATACTTTATTTTGTTTATTATATAGACTGTGAAGAATATTAGAATATTGTATTCTTTTTGTTATATAGGTTGTAAAGGCTTCATGATAAGATCCTGTGATCTTCTAGAAGTCCTGCCGGTAATATATTCAATGTAAATTTACCATGTACATATTCTGGCAAAGAAAAATAATAATAATATGATATCATATAATTATTATTTTTTATTATAAAAAAAAAAAAAATCACAAAATGGTATTTATGAATGGTCCTTTAAGACTCACCACATTTACTATTAAAAAATGTAAAGATAATATGAATGATTAGATTGATTAGATTAGCTCTGGTTAGTTGTTTTATGTATATTTTTAGAAATATATATTTTTTTTATAGCATATTTTTTTGTTTGTTTTATTTTGTTTTATTTTGAAGTATTTTTCTAACATTTTTTTACTATTTTGATTTTTTTAGTTACATATGACTAAACAAAAGAAAAATTACCTATGGCAAAAATTTGTTCAGACTTTTTTTCAATTAACGACAGTAAGACCTTATAAATTTAGAAGTAAACAGATTTCAGAAAAATCTTTTACCTACCAGGTGATTATCATGATGATTGTGATGATGATATGATATACGTGATAATGATGAGCATATGTAATTTAGATGATGATCATCATATCATGATGTTGCTTCATTTTCAGTATTTTATAGAAATGTATGTTATCACAAAATTGTATATATAAGTTCAGAAACTAACACTCCACAGTTACTGAAAAAAAAAAATTTGTAAATAATAAAAAAAGACACTTGCTCTAGTCCGTGCTTTTCCTCCTTTGACACCCATATGTATTGAAAATATGACTTTTTCAGATCATTTAAAAATAACTTTTTTTAAACAAGGCTCTGTTTCTGAAGTTTTAGAAGAGGATGTGTTTTTAAACTTTTTTCATTTGATTATTCTTTCTTTTTTTTGTAACTAAATTCCAGAATGTTCTGAAACAATCTTTTAATTAGTTTATGTAAATAGGACACAAATATGAATGAAAATTTATCAAGTTATATTGATGGACATACTTTTTTTGAAAGCAATTAGTTAGACAACTGATGGGATGCAGACCCGTCCACTTCTATGGTATTGTATTTTATTGACTAAAAAGTTTTTTTTTAATAAAGAATTTATTTAAAAAAATGCTTTTTAAGGTGACAAGTTCTTATTTTATTTTTAGCGCTTTAATTTTAAAAAATGTGCTTTGATTGAAGAAAAAGTAAAAATATTTTATTGTTGCCTATTGAGATGATATCAACATAGTTGCGTGCTGATCAGTTGCTAGATGAATTAAAGCTCTTATAGCTCCATAAATCAGTATCATCAGTTGCATCTAATGCTAAAATTGAAGCACATAGTAAGCAATAGTAAACTGAACTTAACTGTTTCATTATTGGTAATTTTTTGTTATTTTAGTTTTTGGGGTCTTAAATTATATCCAATAAATGTTTATCTGTGAGATGGTTTCTTACAAATGTGAGCAAATAGTACTCTCGCAATTAACTTTTGGAGTTATTTTTTTATAATTTTTTTTTTCGATAATAATATAAACTTGTCTTATGTTGAAATTTTGTTTTAAATTTTATATCTAGTGTTGTTTTGTTAAATACAATAGGGTTGAGGTGCAGAATATTTAAAAAAAAAAAATTCAATCATCCTAACGTTTATATATGTAAGTGTAATGTACATTTTAATCATATATTTTAGTTTAATTGTTTACGATTTTTCACACAGTTTAACTTTATGTTATTTAGATGCTGTGAAAATAAAAGCTTTAACCTCAGGAGTATCAGGAGAAGAGTTTAAGCATTAACTGAAGAGATATTTGTTGCTTTTTGGGGATCGAAATGGCGGGCGAAAAGCTCGAGATGCACGTTTTTTGTATGTAAAGTTATTTACATGAATAACAATTTAAACTTTCAATAAAATTTTTTTTTTTTTAATTTCATTATTTTTTAACTTACTTTTGGTTGGGAATAAATTTCGAAAATACTTATTTATTTTTTTCGATATAAGTTGGAATAAATTTCGAAAAATATTTATTTGTTAGATTCATGCGGGATAATAAATTTGTACAGAAACAGCGAGTAATAACATCCTAATGTATTAGTAAAAAGTAACGCTTTTGTAATTATACGCGACCACGAACAAATGTTGGAAAATGACTGACCACGAATCAGTACTGATAATGAGCCAGTGTTGGTAAGCGATCGCGGGCCAGCGCTGGCAAATGATCCCGGGACTAGTGCTGGCAAATGATCGCAGGCAAGTGCTGGCAAACGATTGCAAGCCAATGCTGGCCCAATGGCCGTTTTGATGCAGGCCCGTGATCGACAGCCGTCATCGCGCCGGAGTCGCAAGCGAAACTGGGCCAGCATTGGGCCGCTAGCGGAAGGCTGTCTGGGAAGTAGTCCTATATAATTAATGTTTAAACTAATGCTGTTTACTCGTTTGTGCGTGTTTGACTCTATGCTTTTAAAGAAGATTTGTTATGCTCGACCATAAAATATTTCACTTTATATTTTTGACCACATGATAAGGTATTCTCAAATCTTTACTATCTCTATTATATTCTGTAATATCTGTAAAATCAGTTTAAAGATCTTAAATTTTATATTTGATGCAATCATAACTTCTGTGTAATAAATGTGTATATACCGTAATATATATAGTGCCTCAATGTGTCTTATGTGTAAGTGTGTATGTTGTTTCCATGGCTTTTAAGTTTTGTGACTTAGCTTGTGATTTTACAGTAAAAGTGTATTATTATTGCATTTTTCTAAATTTATAGCTCTAGCTGCTTCTTCTGGCTCAAAAAGTCTTGTTGTACTCATACTTGACATTATTTAATTGCTTTTATAGTACAACACTATTATTATATTGTACAATACTATTACTGGCAATAAAAAAAAGGTCAGTGTTAAAAAATTAAAAAGAGTTGTTAATCAAAACTTGCAATAATCAATTTTGAAACTTACACAAAAGATTAACAACCTCACAAAGTAAGTTTCTTATTTTTTTATCCAAGTCACATTTTTGAATTTTCAAAAAAATAAAAAGAGCACATAACAAGTTAATGTGTATCAAGTGTATTCAATAATAGTATTGTTCCACTTTTAGGTCGATTTCCTTCTTTTATGTCTGATTTTGAAATTTTCAACATAGCAGAATTCAGGAAATGTTTCGAATGTTGGTTTTATTTAAAAATGCTAAAACGAAGCTTGATAATATTCATACCATTTACTAAAAGATATATAATAATGAAAGAATGTTTCAAAATAAATTGTTTTTATAAGTATTTTTTATACTTTTTTATGTTAAATTTAAAGTTTTTTTAAGTTTATTTTTTTACTTTATCTCAAGAAAGCATTTTTGTATTTTTGTCAAATAAACTTTTATATTTTTTTATATTTGGAATTATTGTTTTGAATTGATATATTGGCTATATTTGCTTTGTTTTTTATATTTCCTTTATCTTTTTATATGTGAGTGGGAACCATTTATAATTTTACCTTATGTAAGACCATGAAGGTTTCCATTTTTTTTAAGTATCAATTGCACAAACAACAAGCTTAAAAAAATATTTGCCTATTTCCGCAATAAAAACAACTTAGTTGTATGAATTTGTTAAATGTTGCTTTTTTTTTTTTTTTTTTTTTTTTTTTTTTTTTTTTTTTTGTTCTTTATTACGATATTTAATTCAATATTTACAAATATATAATAAGAAAAATTTAGATGCAAAAAAATCGTTACAAAAAAATAAAGAATTAAGATAAAGAACGCGGATACTCAAAGAAGACCATACAGGTCTTGTCACCAAGAACCGCTGTTGAAGAACTTTGATTTTTATAAAAGCTTTCACAGAAAAGCTTTTATAAAAAAAATCAAACAGATAAAACTAACTTATTTGAAATAACTAAGTCTCTCGGGCCCATTTTTAAATGGCCAAATTTTCTTTTTAAATAAATCTTTATGAGAGAGTTCAAATATTATTATCATAGCCTAAATTTCCAAAACAACTGAAAAAATATTATGCAACTGTCTAATAAGCTAAATATACTTTAATTATGTAGAAAATAATAAAGTAAATAAGTAATAACGTAATATATAAAAACACTAAATAGTTCTAAAGTACAGTAAATTAAAAATTAATCAGAAGGGAAGAGCATTAGGTAGTCAGTAAAGCAAACCAAGACAATTTAATAACCACAACAGTCATGACAGTTAAAACATTAGCTCATCATTTTTTTTATTAAATATAATGGTATTTCATATATTTTATTTAAGTTAGACTGCTTTGTTTTAAATTAGTTATAATTTAACAAGCAATAAACTTATGGTTTGCAAAAAAGTTCCCATTTTACCAACTACCAGAGCTTTAAATTAATTTATTTTATGCTGTTTA